AGTGATGCACAATGCAATTGCTCATCACCCGCCAACCCATGCCCAGCCAGTTGCCGAGCAGCAATTGCTGCCCCCCCAGCCAACTCCCCGCAGTTTATATACTGAGCATGATGTCATATGGTATGGAATACCCCTTTGGCCAGTTTGGGTCAGTTGTCCTGGCTGTGCCCCTCCCAGCTTCTTTCTGGCAGGGCATGAGAAGCTGAAAAGTCCTTGACCAGTCTAAGAACTACTTAGCAACAACTAAAACATCAGTGTGTTATCACATTATTCTCATACTAAATCCAAAACACAGCACTGTACCACCTACTAGGAAGAAAATTAAATCTATCCCAGCCAAAACCAGGACAAAGACTAACCTGATCTGCTTATAGAGTTTACTAGATTGGGACCCACGTGAGCATTGATGAGTAACTCTTCCATGCTGATGAGACTGTGTAACTTCTGGGACAATTCCTGTTTGAAGAATTGTCATATCAATTCATTGAACATTTTGCAAGCTTCACTGTTTTCAAACAAACTTCAAATAAAACATATAATTTATAACTTTTAAAGGAGCCTGCTATTCCCCTTAAAAATGTATAATTATACAATTAATCACAATTTGGCCTTTAAATGTTTTCAAATCTCTTTTTTTTTAATTCAAGCTATTTTTAAAGATCTGAATTATTCCTCTTAAAAAAATGCCCCTAAATGTTTATCAAAACATGATAGTAGCATTCATATTTCATTTTGATAATAATTAAGGGTATGAAAAGTACAGTACTTCTAGTCTCATATTATTAGTACAGTTATTAAACTAATTTGCAGTAATTAGCTATACAGTGGCCACATGACCAAAAACGAACACATCACAGGGTCAAAATTTCTGTGACATGGCACATACGCTGTTGATTCTGTCTGCTCAACAGACTGTTTGTGGATGCCCATCATGGGACCAGATGTGTATCTGTACTGTGGTCATGTGCCCATCCTGCCTGATGAGAAGAAGTTGTCAGGAGGTCCTTTGGGAAGGGCAGACTGCAGAGCAGATCATTGACCACCACACTAATTTGTCCAGCGTGATCCCTGCCAAAGTCTGAGAAACTTACAGGTAAAATCATGTCAGACAGTAGCCCAAAGGCCTGATGAATTGTTTGACAGGCTGTCTCCAGCCTGAATGACCTAGAACTGCTCATAGGAAAGGTGTGCTCTAAAGATGTTCATGAATATTTGATTCTGTATTGAGTTTAGGCACTTGTCAGATGAGTGATGCCATCATTAATAGGTGCTTTTGCATGAAAGTGAAAAAAGCTGCTCTGATTTCTGCTGAACTCAATTCTGTCATCGTATTTTAATATACTCATGATGCACTTAGGTGACTGTGTCCCTATGGAAATAAGGCACCTCCATATTTCAAGCTGGAAACATGACATACCTTTGGCAGGTGGAAGGTGCGTTGCTTCTCAGACAATGTTTCTGCATGAACAATTAACAATTTGTTAGGGAAAAAATGTCAGCACTGAGGAGTGATATACATGAATTGCTTGTTTGGACTTTGGCACCTGTAATGTAACTGAGGTCCATAAATGAGCAGTCTGAGCTATTCACCTGTAGTGTATCTTTCCTGTTAACAAAGAGAGCTTCAGTGCTGAAGGCAGTGTAAAGGATATATTTTACTGAAAGGAAAGATATTTTAGTTGTTGTGCCAGCCAGTGGGTATAGATCTTACCTTAGGAAAATGAAGCCTGGCAAAAATAACAACAAATCTCAGACCATCTTTTCTTTTCTTTTTTTCCCCTTCCCAGTCACCACTTAGTCTTCTTCTGAGAGCATTAACAAAGAGCAGTATAGAAAGTGAGATGGAATGTGCTGCCTTAAATAAATAGAAAGTTTAAAATATCTTCTCTGTAGGGCTAGAGACACCTAGATTGAAGAAAACTTGTATACTGAAGACCTGATAAACAGAGAAGGGTCAATACAAACCCGTGTTGTAGAATATGGACTGTGGTGTTCTGCTGGATGGAAATTGTCTTGTCAGTAGTGACTTATTTACAGCAAGTACCATCCATTTTTAGTATTTTCTCTTCTTATTGTTAGTTTAATTCTGTTTCTCTGATTTTTGTTACCTGGCTTTTCTGGCCCAATTCCCAGTAATGTGCAGTTCAGTGCTGTTGTACCTTATGATCTCACAGCTCATTAACCTTTACCTAAGGAAAAGCCCAATATTTGGTGTTTTCCAGACAAAAAGTTGTCTGGCTGTGCAGAAAGGCTGTATCTGGCTTAGGCAATATATGAGGAAACCAGTAGGAATGAGCAAAGTTTAGACTGGAAGACCTGCATCTCAAATCTTTTAAAAGTGGTCAGTGTATAAAAGCAATTCAAATTCAACACTGAAGCAGGGAAGTTCTGACAGCACTTTGGCTTGCTCTTTTCAGATCTACTACAAGAAATACATAGGTAAGAGGGTGAAATAATGATTTGAGCCTGGGAAAATCAAAACTACATCAAAAGGAAGTGCTAAAGTGCATTTGCATATTATTTGATGTTTAAGTAATCTCTTTTTGACTGGCGATTCCATTTATTGAATTCATTAATAGTTGGTCTTAAGTGCTGTCTGGTGTAGTTGGTATCATTGTAAATACTAATATGAAATATTACTAATATTAAATCATACTAATTTTAGACTGATAGAAAAGTGTTGAAAGAGCAGTAAAAACTTAATACTGTAAAGAACTGTTAATAACTAAAGATATGGTCAAACAACAGTGACTGGGGTAAGTCACAGTCTGTTAAAGTAAATGACCATCTATACATAGCTTGATATTTTTAGCCATTGTCCTTAGCCAGTCATAAAATGCATGCATGTGAGATGATGTTCCCTTATAAGTGTGAAAAGTAGGTGTGTGGCTGATCTACTTCATATGCACAAGCCTTTGCTAAAGAATTAATGCCTTCCACAGTTGCCAGCATGATGAAATTATGTCTTAATACTCTATTCATCTTATAAATATGAGTAGTTGCCATTGTGAAGGAGCTGTATAGATAAGTTTGGGATCGTTCCAAAGATTACAATATAATATAGTATCACTCATAAAAGCATAACAAAAATACCTTTTAACTCATAGAAGATTGTGATTCAAATGATCCATTAAAATATTTTAGTAAGTAACTAAGAGTGATTTAAATACCCAGTCTTCAATCAAAGTAATTCATAAGAGAGATGTGAAACAAATCTTTACTTGAGGAGTTTCTATGAAATTCCTCACATGAGGATAACAGGCGCATATTATGCAAGAATGAAAAAGGTTTCCTTCATGAATCACAGATATACTAAAATGACATCAAATGCGAGCAACTTCCAACAGGAGCACTCTTGTTTTAAAATTTCTACATGCTCCTCAGTTTACCTGCATGACATACCTCTGGCAAGTGTTATCTGGACATTGTAGCTCTTTAAAAATGCTGTAGATCTTGTTGTGTTTTGGACTGTGTTCCATAATTACTCTGCTTTCAGAAGCCTCACTGAATGCAGATACATTTAACTGCTTGCCAGGAAAAGTACTTTCAAAATAATAGGGATCATGACTAAAAAAAACAAACCAATTCTGTGCTTGACTCTTTTTTGACTTCAGTATCCCTCTGGATGACAAAGATACCCATTTTGTTTGAGTTACTCTTTAAAATCATTTAAAACTCATATATGATCAAAG